TAGAACCCTCAGTTTGTTTCTCAGAGTCTATAGTCTCTCATGGTTCATCTCCCCCTCCGATTCCCCCCCTTCATTTTTCCCTTCCCGCTATCTTCTTCTTTTTTTTTTTTTAACATACAATGTATTATTTGTTTCAGAGGTACAGGTCTGTGATTCAACAGTCGTACACAATTCACAGCACTAACAAATATTAGAAGCCTAAAAAAATATGATTAGAATGCTGAGATTGTGGAATCTTTGGGATTATTTTAAATATCTTTGTAAATAGCACAGTGCTTTGTACATAGTAAGTGCCCAGTAAATATTAATTCAAATAAATGACAGTAAGTAAAATTTTAACATAATTGCAATCTCATAGAGTGGGAAACTGTGGACAGAAGATATTGTAATGCCAATTCACAAACTATGAGCAAGGGATAGAAATGAGCAAAAGTGTATTATGTATGTGAGAAGACATCACAAACAATTATAGCTTGAAAATTTTATGGGATGAGAGAAGCACAATGACGTAGCTATGGAAGAAAATTCCATCCTTAATTAATTCAAGAGAAATAAGATGTTATCCTATAAATCATATGATAAAGGGAATGACACCAGACCATGAAATATGCCATAAAAAATGATGTAGAGAACTTTAGAATTGGTCCAGATAATAATAAAGGAGAGCTTTGTTTATTCTACTACAAACTAGAATAATTCATTATGAGGAGTTTCTGATAAACCATAATATCTTCCTAAAACGGCAAGTATGAAGACTGCACAAAAGAAAAATAGTCCAAGCTTTGTCCTTGGAGCAAAATCATCAAATCATTTAAATAAATCTAATACATTGGAAGGATTTTTAGAATATATGTTAAAAATATATTACAACTCACTTTAAGGGTTTGTGATCTTGGATTCAAGCCAACAATGAAGCTAATAGAAGCTGATTTTCCACATCCTCAAGATAATTAAGTAATTGTCGAAAGTATGTATATGTATGGCACTTCACACAGAGAAGATTTGCTAAACTGATTAAGCTTAGAGAAAACTAAGCCAGATTGACAAAACACATGTAAATGGTTTTATACATTTATCTTGTACATAAAGATAATTAGTTCTACCAGTTACTAAGCACCTATATATCAGATACTATACTATGAAATTTATAAACATCTCTTTTAATTTGATCCTTATTATAACTCTATGAGACAGGTGTTGTTTCATTTTATAGGTAAGGAAATTTGAGACTCTGAAACATATGAGAAATGTTCATTCAAAGTCACATAGGTGGATAACCCAGTCTTCAAATTCAAGGCTATCTAACTTCTAAGATTATACTCTTAATCACTGCCCTATTACTAATTAGAGGATTAAATAGGAATTGGAATAAGAAAACAGTAAGCGTTAATTCTTCTGAAATAGTGAATATATGTGTATTAGTTTGCCACGACTGCCATAACAAAATACTACAGACCAGGTGGCTTAAACACCAGAAACTAATTTTCTCACAGTTCAGAAGACTGGAAGTCCAAGATCAAAGTGTTAGCAGGTTTAGCTTATTCTGAGGGCTCTCTCTTTGGCTTGTATATGACGTCTTTCTTACTGTTTTCTTTTTTTTTTTTTTTTTATTCTTATGTTAATCCCCATACATTACATCATTAGTTCTAGATGAAGTGTTCCATGATTCATTGTTCGTGCACAACACCCAGTGCTCCATGCAGAACGTGCCCTCCTCAATACCCACCACCAGGCCAACCCATCCTCCCACCCCCCTCCCCTCTAGAACCCTCAGTTTGTTTTTCAGAGTCCATCTTCTCTCATGGTTCGTTTTCTTACTGTGTTCTTATATGGTCTTTCCTCTCTGCACATTCCTGGTATCTTTGTGTGTCCAAATTTCCTCTTCTTATAAAGACATCAGTCATATTGAATTAAGGCCAATCCTAATGGCCTCATTTTAACTTAATTACCTCTTAAAAGCCCTATCTCCAAATAAAGTCACATCCTGAAGTATTGGAGCGGTGAGGGACACAGTGCAGTCCATAACAATATGACAATCAAATTCAACATTCTTTGAAGAGCGCACCTACTATGAGCTGGAAATGTGTAAACAATTTCACATTTAGTTTTTCATTTAATCCTCACAACAATCAGGTATGGTAGCTATTGATCAACCCAATTAATGGGTGAGAAATGAAAGCAAAGAAAGTTTAAATAATATGTTCAATATCATACATCTGGTAGGTTTTGAAATAGGAATGTGAACTTACATAAATCGTATCCCAAAGCTATTTCCTCATGATGTTAGTGTGAAACCAAAAAATCCCATTATATAGATATTTGATATTAGAAAGGGAAATTACAAAATTTAAATATTAGGATAAAACAGAACAGAAAAAGGGAAAATATCTTGCTAAGGAGTTTGGATACTAGAACTAAAAAGACATTTGGGGATTGGGGAGAATGGGACTAGAAGCAAAGAAATTTTGGGATGGCATGCTAATAGGAAAGTTCTTACCTCAGAATAAATCTCAGTATAATTTGAAATATGTTAAGGGTCCCACTAAAATACGAGAAAATCAGTTATTCAATAACTAATTAAACATAGCAAGGTAGTAGTAAATTGCTCAAAGAGGCTGTAGTCTCAGTGAATATCAGAACAGCTGGAAG